GCAGGAGCTGCAGGCACTCCACGTGGTCCCCGAAGGCTGCCGCGTGCAGGGGCGTCCTGCCAGGGAACCAGCACCACCACCCCTGTCCCTCAGGGCTCACAACTCCACCCACCTACCCAAGAACCTGACTTTTTTATTTTTTTTTTAATTTTTATTTTTTCCCCTGTGAAACTTTATCACCAGGGGAACGTTACAGCAGCAGCAGCTGAAATCAGTTAAATAATATTTGAAGCCTCTCTCCTGGTGTGACACAAACTTTAAAAAAGGGAAGCAGAGGAGAGAGAGGATGCTCTGGAGAACCTCACAGCAGCGTATTTGTTTTAATGGAGCATACTGTGTAATGTGAAAAGCAGTACAAGCCCCCATTCTTATTCATCTGATTTTACTTTTTTTCACATGCTTAAGATGGGGAGAGCTATCAGAAAAGAGCAGATGCATTACTTTGGAAAACAAAAATATTTTATGTTATAGTCAAAAATACTGCAGCAACAAGCTACAGCAACAATATTACTATGAAAAACATTAGGAATTCTATCCACTTGGAATATTATCAGTTTCCAGAAGACCGAGACACTAGAATTCATTTGCTGCTTCTCTAATGAATTCTATAATAACATAATTTAATAATTAAATAATTCGTTTGCTGTCTCACTAATAAAGATGGAAGACAGTTAGTGCACAAGCCAGCTCACAGTTTTACTTCAGGTTTTGCTTATCAGTAAGGGTAAGGTGGTCTTACCCTACAAGAGTAAGTAGTCATTACTACTGAAGGTCTTTAATGTGCTTTAATTAATAGAAACAATAAGTATCAAATTTTAATTTAAAATATATTAAAATATGCACACAAGGTGAGGAGATTATTGACGTGACAAATCAAGGATTTAGCTGAACGTGTAGCTCTTGCTGTATCAGTATTATTTTGCTGCACAGATGTTTTGAGTTGTGTGCCCTGAGAATGCTAACTTAACATTAGAATTTTCAATTAAATAAACATGTTTAAATATTTAACAAAGAAAACTGGTTTAGGGAAATAGCCTATAGTCATAGCTGTTCTAAACAAACAAAATACTATTTCTTTTGCATTTCTTTGCATATGTCCTAAGAAATTGAAGTAAAAATACTGTCAAGTATTCAAGTGAGCCAGCATTTAACTCTGCTGCAGCATCAACGGCTGTCTGAAAGGGACAGCATAGCAAATTTTAGCCCAACCATATAAGATAAGGATTAGTTCCAGAGGTTCAAAAAGACTGCTGAAAAATACTGGGTGGATTCACGAAGAAAAAAATGCAAGTTTGAGAAACCCTTACCTCCCTTTGTCATCTTTGCAGTTGACAATGCTGGCATCGATGGCGCCGAGGAGCAGCGATGCACAGTTTTCATGATCATTGATTCTGCCAAAGAAAAGGTATTTTTCAAAAAGGTAAAAAGTCTACATGGTTTCCCACTTTCCAATATTAATTTACTTCACGTCCCATTAATATTTCAAAGTTAGGCTAACATACCTTTGCCACAGTGCTTTCAGTCACATTTTTGATCATTTATCATATCTCTATTTAACCGAGCTCTCCCTGCTATGAGCAATTTCAATCTCTAGAGCAAAGCTGATCCTGCAGTTCACTATGCACAAAGGTAATTGGAAGTGCAGCACAAACCTAGGATTAAAACCTTAATACTTTAAAACCCTTTAGCCTACATGCCAAACAAAGCTGGACCTGGAAAGCACTCAGTCATAGATACCCACATATAGAAAGCTTTATTCTAACCTTTCAGGTACTGAAGCCCACATGTCTGCCAACTCACACATTTAATGCTTTTCCTTGATGGATGTACTCAGTTAAAACTCTTTCTGGCTATTGTTAATTTGTCTCATTTCATAATGAAAAGGAACAGTATTTAGTAACAGTACATACAGTGTAGCTAACAGACACCCACGCTGCATTAGGAGCTGTTTTCATTCTAAATTTGCATCCATTTTTAAGTTGCAGACGTTTTTAATGGGTTTGAGAATTACATACTAGTTTAAAATAATACAGACAAAAAGAAAACATTCAAGGCTATCGCTAGAAATTCCATTTTCAAATACAGTGTTTCAGCCACGAACTATTTTAAACAGAGTAGAAAGAATGCTTTATGTATGCTTTTGTTATATTGGGGTGTTTACAATTTCTATATTTGATACATGACAAATTATTTTTCTGCTTTCTAATGATGTGGGCTGTAGAAGGGAAGCCTACACAATAATATTTCCTTTAATTACTTCTGGAAGACATTCCTTCTTCTAATAGAAGAGAGTACAGTCATTCTAATTGCTGGCAGAAATTAAGCAGGTTTGAATTTTTTCAGTGCTCGATTCCTTACTCTTCTGATGCCTTAAATGTTTTAATAAGCATATTTATTCCTACAAACTAATCTTGCATGAAAAAAAAATGCACAGATCCTAAAACATTTGTTACTGGGAATTTCTACTCACATGGCACAGTGCAATGGAGAGAAGCTATTACCATAGAATGTGCGGAAACATTTTTGCTCCAATAGTACCTCTATGCAGTTTTCATGACCTGTAAGAGATCAGCATTTCAGTGTTACCCAAGTAGGTAATTTACTTAATTCATATTAGGCTTATGCAGATAGGAACTTCATTCCAGGTTCAAAGCTGAACACAATGTGTATATAAGCTCTTATGTGATAAAATTATTAACAGAATTTTGGAGGGTTTTTTTAATGGCATCAGCAGTGTAGATTCAGACTAATATTAGCACTTGCTGAAAACACACAAAAAGAGGAAAGTCTCTTTTGTATGTGAAGTTATGTATATGGCATTACACACCTCCAAAGACAGTCTTAATTAATGGTATTAAGAAGCTTTATTTTAGACAACAAGTTCAGATCATCCAGTTTAGAATAATCTGTTCAAAATATCTATCTATCCACGTGCTCTCTTGAATCAATAAATAAGAAGGTGACACCTCAAAGGAGCATTCCTGGCTCCACAGATATCAATGAGAATTTCATCATGACATCAGTAAAACCAGAATTTTACCCTGGCCTCCTGTGACTGGGAGCAAGTGAGCTGCAAAGCCACGGGGAGATGTTGCTGAGATTTCCCTGGCTTCTGAACCGAAGGGTGAACATAGCAAATGCTAACTACAGAGAGCAAGCTGCAGGGAGAGAATTCACCTCTTCATCTCAAGCTTCTCAGAAGTGTTGGGCTGCTTTGTTACCAAGTTTCTCTAAAACAGAGGCCACATTTGAACAGAGGGAGAAACTTACCATTGTAGCAAGCCCAGTGCAGTGGCGTGTAACCTTGATTATCTTTCAAACTGCAGTCTTCTTCTGAAAGTGCTATCTGCAGCAATTCACTCAGCCAAGTGGCGTGACCCCGAGCTGCTGCAAAGTGCAGAGGTGTTCTGCCTCTGGCATCTTTACATAAAATAGATACTTCTTTCTCTAAAAGCATCTGAACACATTCTTCATGCCCAGTCATAATCTGTTGGCAAAGAAATGAGTACAGGGGATCACATAATACAGATTCTCACCCAGGAAATATGGAATACGACTGATGCCTGTGAATATGAAAGGGCCTGGATGCAATTCAGCAGGCAGAGAGCTCCTTTGCTCCACAAGTACTTATGACAACTGATATTCTGAAATGTATTTAGTGCTGTCTTTCAAAGGCATTGATTCCTAGTCTGTGGAAGAGACTCCACTAAGTGAGGCAAAAAAGCAAGGAGCAGTTTAAGACTAAGGAAACAGATGAACAAGGGGTGAGGTTCAGAAAATCTGAGTCTGGCTTCTCCAAGCCATGTATGAATGTGAGAGAACTGAAGGAAAAAAGGATTAGGAATATCATCAGAAATATGAAAAGCTGCTTTAACCTCTGGCCAGCTACTACCAGTGACCTCTGTCTCATTATATGGGTTAGCTTTGTTATCTTTGGCATATTCATGTATTGCTATCAATACAGAATTTTTATGCCATAGCTTTTATTACAGACTTGTGCTGGACTCCTAAGCTAACTGCTCACTGCAGTTATTACAGGATTCTGCATACATATTGCTTCTTGCATCAACTTCAATTCGGTAAAGAAGCTGACTCCTAGAAACAACTCCATCTGCCTCAATTTTCACTGCTCTACAAAAAAAATGCTTACTTATTTTCATGATACTCCCTAAGAACAATGAAAATAACTCCTGGGCAATTCTTTTAAAGACTTTAGTTTCAGAATTCACAAGGTGCTTAGTTATAAGAGCAAAGACTGCTATTGTAAAGTGTCTAGAGCTCAGAAAAATATGGTCTAATCAGTATCTTAGGTAATGAATTAAAGCAAATGTGAAAGAAAGTTAAAAGCAGAGTATTACTGAGGGTAGATCCATTCTGCTTTTTCCCTCACTGACTGTGCTTGGTTAAGTTTCCATCATTTACAATATTCCCTACATCCAATATCCCTGTGATTAGTGAGTTGTAGTAACAGAAAAACAAATAATTAAGAATCATAAAAATCGAGTCACCCCTCGATGTAAAGCTGTGCATCCCAGGAGATCTGCTGCATCTACAGATGCTTCTTTTTCAAGTAATAAAGAAACAGCATCAATGTGCCCATATGCCACCGCAAGCATTAGTGGGGTTCTAGGAAAAACACAAAACAACAAACTGGTCACAGCCCTAAAATGACATGCTACTAGCCACTGCTAACAAACAGGAATGGAAAAATGAGGAAGCCCTGCATTTCTGTCTGTTCCTACCCACAAACCTGCTTCTGTCACCATCCTCATCTATATAACAGCCCAGTGAAGACCTTTTGTATGACATTATTAAGATATTTAACAACCAACCATCATGACTGCAATAGAAACAATCTCATTTGTACACAGTTTACAGAGCAACATCATTCAAGACAATCTGTTCTCTTAATAACCTACAATTATGGTCATTTCCAGCAACACGTGAGCTTCACTAAAAGTATACTTTATTCTCCCTCTATAACCGTCACTTAATGAGAAGTAAAATTTTTGTAGGAACACCTCTGATGCATGTGTCACCTCAAGTATTCTGTCCCACTGCACCAGTCTAATATACCAAGTAAACCCTGAAATAGAAATCTTTTAGAAAGAAAGAGACTCTTTATAGAAATACCTCAGGAACTTGTTAGTTTTTATTGAATCTGGCCCTCAGTATCTATGAAGAATTGTTAAAAATATGAACTAGAGGCTAAGATTAAGAAATAAACCTTTCCACATGGCTTAGACCAACTGAATGTGTACTTTGTAATCTTTGCCAAATTCTATGGGAAGCACAGGAAATACAGTATTTCAAATAAACGTTTTGGGGTTGGGTTGGTTTTTTTTATTTTGTTTTTTCCCTGTGAGAAATCTGAGATGCTATTTGAGTCACAGAGCACAAAATAAAAACATCACAAAGCAAACTTACTGTCCTTTGGCGTCTGTCACGTCAGGGTTGTCTGCAACTTCCAGCAACAACCGTAAACAAGGTGTATGGCCATTAATGACTAGAAAGAAAAATAGTATATTTCATTAAAATATGTTTAATTTCAGATACTTTTCCATTGGAACACTTATGGAGTAGAAAATTCCTTATAAACAAGGAAAATATTGCACAGTGTAAGAAATTAATAATGCTGTTGTGCTCATGAAATGGTGAGGTGGTTTTCCCTGACCTCAGGAAGATGAAGATTATTCCTCTCACATATAAAAATCCCAAATGAGTAAACCAGAAATCATTATTCTCACTACTCAGATTTCTAGTAAACCAGACAGCATTTCAAAATCCCTCAGACCGAGCAAGCAGACAAGGCTTTCTGCAAACAGATTTGGAACACAGTAGGAAGTACACTGGCAGGGCTTGTTAATTCTGTGTGCACTGTACAAGCAAGTTCTTCAGTCTACAAAAAGAAGCATCTGCAAAGAATGACCAGCCACACAATGTCATATTCATCACAGCACGTAACACCAGTTGAGACTAAAACTCCCTTTGGGTTTTTCCATCTTTTCTCATTTGACATTTCTGGATGCCACAGCTACTTCTCAAAAACCAGGTTTGCTTTTAAAATGTAACCTACTGCTGTTAGAAAACCACCCCGAGCTACCATGTTCTGCAGGGCCTGACATTGGAAACCCATCTGTGTGTCAGCTGGCTTAAAGGCTTCATGGGATGAAGAGAACAGTATTTTCTTCTTTGAAAAACAGCAATTCCTGTACTCGGTAGCTATGGACTGTGTTCTTATTACAGCAACTCATGCATTCACACTGCCTACACCCTGTGGGCTGAGGCAAAACCCTTGGACACCACCTACGTCACATCATTCTGGCAGAGAAGAAGGTGCACATCATCACATTTAAATCACTCATCCAAAAATAATCTTACTTGCTCTATCCAGAAAAATAAAAGACATTTTTAGTTATTTACCGCTAAGTAATGCCATATACATAAGAAGTAAACAGTTGTGCAGGGCTGATGAGTCACTGGCTTTGGAGAAGAAAAAAAAAAAGGATCTGTTCTTTCTCCCAGCAGGAGGAAGAGAAATGATAACTTTTTCACATCGATGTCTGAAAAGGCTTTTGGTAAGTGAGATTTAGAGCAGATACTCTCAGAAACTTCTAGGAGCTGCCCTAGCAATTGCTAAGCACTACAGACCCTGCAGGGAACATCAGCTTTGCCAACAGACCCAACTAGCACTAGGGGAACATTTGCAATGGATTCCCCAAGCTAGCCAGAGGGAAAACGGGTGGTAGTAAAATTATACAGGGAACAGATAATTTAGGCTGAGGAAATTCTCCATGTTACGAGGTCAGAGGAAGTCTGTTCCCTGAGGAGGACACACAGAAAAAAGAAATACTTCATTAGGTGATTTCTCTACTGAAGTTACAAATCCCTGTACTGAAAAGGGCTCTGCAGAGTCCTGTAATCCAATCCACCTCTTCAGGTCTCCTGAACTGTTGTGCTCAGCAGCTGTGCTTGTGTAACTGAAAGGAATGAAGGCAAACACGTCTAAGAGGACAGGCACACATCTTGTTTCTTTCCAGTGCACAGCCTAGCACATGCAGGTACTCAATTTTGTGTGTGCAAATGCACACTGGCACTCAAGGGATTAAGAAATCTGAAAGAATTCTGCTTGTCAAAATATGTCCATTTACCTCTGAGACTTGCACTGCAAGTAAAAACTGCTGAATACTGCAGTGGCACCACCCAGAGTTTCAGATAGGTGGCATCATTCTTTGCTAAAATACTCCTAACCAAAACATATTGTTATGCAACAGCATAATAAAAATCACCAGTTTGCAAATCGTAGATTTATAATAGTTGTAGACAGAAGCTTTACTCCAGATCTAATTTCCACAGAACTCTGCATAGCCCTTGAGTGGAGGATTCTAAACACTGTCTTATTTACCCAAACTGCACCTATCTCACATTTGAAAGCTTCCAATTCACGAGAGTAATAAATGTCCTTTACTAAGAATTCAAATATTCAATCTGTCTGTGCAGTATTTTCCCTTCTGTTTAAGTTCCATGTTCACTTTAGTGTCTCATTCAGCTGTGTAGGATTTTCCTGCCTCTTTTTTGAATACATACCTAATTTATTTTGCTTCACTGCAGGTTTAAAGAACATTTGGCTTGTATCCCCATGTGTATTTGTTTTTAATCTGAGAAGCAAAAATTAACATAGACCAGAAAAGTCTACAATGAATCTTCCTGCTGGTGATGGGGGCAATTAATAAAGAAATGAAAATAGGAAAACATCCCCTCCAAAATCATAATTTGTAAGAAGGTGAGAAATGTGGGTATTCAATAAATCTACTCAATTCTCTTCAAAAGATCTAATCAATGAACTCATAATTTAAGTCAAAGCTGCTAACAAAAATATGGCCTAGTTACCACTTACTTTTCTCAGTATGGGAGAAACTTCACCATCCAGCTGTGACAACAAGAAATCTATGTCACTAAAACCAAATTTTAAAATGAATGCAAAATCATTGCTCTATTGCTCTGATGATGCACCAGACCAAGTCACACCCTGATCATCATCAGACCCCAAGCTACATTCTAAGTGACTGCTGAAAAGCTCTTGACCTACACAGCTCCAGTTTTGTGGCAGCACTGTTCCTGATTTAAATTAATTAAACCAACAGCTTTAACAGGGTGGAGATCAGCTGGATTTGCCATTTTGTGTTCTTATCAAAAATAACTAAATGCCTCTCTGACTGAATTCTGGTCTCAAACTTCTGAAATGTAAACTCTGGCAGCACATCTCTATATCATTAATTTATTGTGGGGAGTAATGTTCTTGGTTCTGATGCAAAATTTAAGAAGGCAGAAAGCATTTTTTAGTATGCTATGAAGATCTATTATGCATCTTTTTGTCAGTACTGCAGAGAAAATTGATAATCTGCTTGACCTTGTATTTCCATACTGCACTTATATGATCACACCCAGGGAATAAAATGGTATTAGAGGATCTATATGCATGTCGATTTAAGGAAGATTAACATATAAACAGAAAGTCAATTAAGTCTAGCCCTGAAAATAATCGTTAACTAATGAGGTATTAATTTTACTTCCCACTAGAGGTCACTGCTATGCTGCACTGAGCCCCTCGATGAGCAGCCAGAGGAGCAACGTTCCCTTTGGCAGCCCTGCATATTCATCTGACAGGCATATATTAATAACAGCATTTAAATAAATGGTAAATTCTACGTTTTCCAGTTAATTATGCACGTTTCATAATTGATAATCAACACAAGAGGAATGGAGCAGACTCCAAGCAAAAGCTAGCTCAGGGGGAGCATCAAGTGTGAAAGGGGAAGAATTTCTGTAGGGTTTTCACTGCAAAAAGCTGAAAGTGTTGAACACTGAGTTGATTTCATAGCCAGAGCCTACCTGGATTTTCAACCTTTTTTCCCTAGTGAGGCAAGTGTTCTCTCCTCCCCTGTTTTTTTGGCACTCTGAGCAAGAGCTAGCGCAGGGGGAGCATGAAGTGTGAAAGGGGAAGAATTTCTGTAGGGTTTCCACTGCAAAAAGTTGAAAGTTTTGAACACTGGGTTGATTTCATAGCCAAAGCCTACCTGGATTTTCAGCCTTTTTTCCCTAGGAGAAGCCGTGAGGCAAGTGTTCTCTCCTCCCCTGCTTTTTTGGCCAAGGAACCAGTAAGAGGTGCCATAGGGGAAACAACAAACATCTTAAAAAGCAGGTGGTAATAGAGAGGTGAGGTAGAGGCAAGCAGGTAAGGGCAGTGCAGTAGTGATGTGGAAAAATATGGGATTCTGTGTGAGGGAGGACTGAACCACAGGGACAGGGGACAAAAGTCCAAGGGAACAGTAGGACCTCAGCAAACAAGCAGCAGTCCCCACTCAGTACACGTCAAAATCTCCTTCCATTGAGAAGACATTGTGAAGGTAACTGCTTCTGTCTTACAGGTTTATACCACAAGTGTAACTGAGGCACACACTCACCTGAAGCATGAAGGGGGGTCCTTTTGGTGACATTGTCTTTCACAGTGACAGAAGCACCCTGACTGATGAGAGCTTCCACACACTCTGCGTGTCCTTTAAATGCAGCCAGGTCCAAAGCAGTGCGTCCCTTCTCATCCCTAATATCCAGATCTACCAGAGACTGGAGAAGTACCTCCAAGGCTTGATGATGACCGTTGTAGGCCTAAGAAACATGAAATGTGTCATGTAAAGAACACAACTCTTGTCTTTCAAAGAAACAACTTCAAAAAAAAACCAACTACAGTGGACAAGTAGATGCACTTCCAGACCTACAGCCACATTTAGGCCAACAGCACAAACACAGGTGATATTGCAAAAACCCAGCAAACAGCCCAAAAAAAAGGAAACATTTCATTCAGGTTTCTATGGTCTGCCCTACTCTCCTGACTCACAGAGAATAGCCTTTTTAATTATACATGAATGTGTAATTGGTATTACCAGAGTTGAAGCAATTAATGAAAACAGAAGAGAAATGCAAACATGAAGGAACCAAAGAGCCACTGAATTTCAAGGTTAAGTAGTGGTGACAGCAGCTTTTTCCTAGTGACCACAGTCAAAAGGTCAAAAGACCAGGACAGTGCAGGGAGCAGTTACTTCCCTGTTAACTCAAGAAGAATACTTCTGGAAAGCAGGAAGGCAAAGGCAGAAAAAGAAGAGGGAGGTTAGGGCACAGGGAACCCATATCTTAGGAAAATCCTCAGATGCAGTTGTCAGCTTTTCTTCTTCATGGCAACTTTACTTAGAAGACAACTAGCAACAACCTTCTCTTTGACACAGTATGAGGTATCTGTCTTGAAGCTGCCATGCCTACTGTACACCCCATCCTCTCTCTTTGACAGAAGCTGACTTCTTCTCCTTGTTGGTTTGCCTTGGGCAGTCGTTTACTCAGCCATGACCCTAATTATGCTCTATAGCCTCATGGAATGGCAGGTCAGTATTTTGTTGGCTGCTAGTCCACCCCTTGTTTCTAAATCTTATTTCCATCCTAGAGTCAAATGTTGGTAAGCAGAGGCCTTGGCCACTGAGCCATATAAGGCATTTAACAGGACTTCATGTTTTGGCATGGGTTGCTAGTTTTCTGGATCCACATGTGGAGAGATTTGTGTGGTCACTGCTAGACCTGGGGAAGGATGGCCACATCCCATCCACTACATGGGAGGGTTTGAAATAAATGTCAAAGGCACTCCTGGATAGTTGCAGATGAACTGTGAAAGAGTGATGTTTTATGGAAAGCTTTTTAATTTTTAAACTGTGGGTTTGGGATGTCTCAGGTGAAAAAACTGCTCTTAACCAGTAACAGATACTAGAGGGAGAGCCATTAGCTGTGTCCTTGCAAGGATTCTGCCCAAGAAGGACCAGAGGGTAAATGACTTTGCTGACTGGCCAGTTGTGGGGCAAGTCCCTTCCCAGCACAGGAATTTATGCTGGTGATAGTACAGGCTGTAACTCCTCTTTGGGCTTGAGAGTGACACACTCCTTCCTGCAGTCTTCCAATTGCAGGAAAAAAAGATGGTAAGAAGAGTTCAGTGACAAATTCAGTCTTTTAGCCCAACTGTTTTGACTTTTGTCCCCTTAGATTATGCCTGGATGGGCAAGCAAAGGAGAAGTCAGACTCTTCTCAGGGGTGTCCAGTGTCAAGACAACAGACAATGGGATCAAGTTGAAATAAAGGAAGCGCCATTTAACACAAAAAAACCCACCCACTTTTACTGTGATGGTGGTCAGACATTGGAATAGATTGCTTGGAGGATTTAAGTCTCCATGCTTGGTGTTATTCAAAATGTGATGGAGCACAGCCCTGAGAAAACCTCTTTTAGCTGACTCTGCTTTTAGCACAGAGGTGGGACTAGCTGATCTACAGAGGGCCTTGCCAACTTCAACTCTTTTGTGATTCTGCACAAGAAAACTGGAAGGAGGGATCATGAATCTTGAGGTCTTGGGAAAGGGGAGCTACTGTGATCTATGAGGCCACATGAGGCTGGATCCCCTTTTGATAGCACAGTTTCTTTGGCAGGCTTTCAGGGCACTGCTGGGGTTTAAGCATGCTTTCCCACACCTTGCTCTGTACCAAACTGGTTTTTGCACTCTGCACATCTCCAGGAGAACATCAGAATATCCCATCCCATCACCAAAAGCCATGTGTTTAAGCTCTGGCCCTCAATTTATTAACTAGTTAGAAATAAAAGTTGTGACTTTCAATTTAATTTCATTTCGGTGTCTTCTTCTTACTCAAGTATTAGAGTCAATAAGAACCAAGAGCTTCAACTAACAAAAATCTGATGAACAATTCCAGCCCAGAACCTGTTTTTGTTACATCTAGGCCTACATCCCTTCCCAGCTTTGTCAAAATAAGTCTATGATTATATTTGCTTCAAAGGCAGAGATTAAGGAATTATTCTAGGAGACATTGATTAAACACTTTATGCATCTAATACTTACAGCTAAATGCAAAGGACTTTTTGTAGGTGCAGAATCAGGTTCCTCAAACATGTTGTTGGTTTTTTCCAGAAGCTGAAAATTAAAAAAAAAAAAAAAAAAAAAAGACAGTCTTAAAACATCTTTGCATGAGACAGGATAAGTTCTCATGGGCTATAAATGAACATTTTGTCCTCAGATGTCCACAGTGAGTACTAGAGGACTGTGACTAATAAATACTTCTCAACCTTTCCATAAAATATTTTCAAGTTTTTCCTCACAGGTTAAAGTTATAAAGCTATTTTAAAAGTTTGTAGTGAACATTCTTACCCTGATTACTTATTTTCCCTGAAATCATAGGCCTGCTTGGGTGAGAAGGGAGCCCTCAAAAGGAAGGATTTGTGGAGTGGAGCCCTCAGTAAGCGTACATTGGAAAAAGTGCAATTTTGTGATTATACAAGTAATGCATATACAAGCCATGTCTGATACAGCAGTTCAGTTAATTCTGAAACATAACTAGTGCTAGGAATAATTATAACTGAGCTGTAAGTCATTCACAGCCATTTTTATAATTTATCAAAGTAGAACCTGCTCCTATAACGACAGTCTTCCAAACCACAACACATCCCTGAACTCTTACAAACATCTAACAACACACATCACACATCCAGATGATCATCTTCACTACAAGGGAACCCAAAGACTTTTAAAGCTTACAACCCAGGGCACTTCTGTCCATCCAGGAGGAGGAACAATGGATTAGCACCACTCCACATAAACCCTGACAACTTATCCAAGTGGGGCTGCAAAGAAGATCATACATAGCATTGACAGCAAGATTGTGACAATTCAACATTTCTGGATTAGTGCTGCTCATGTGCATGGCCTTTTACCTAGCAACTACTCAAAAAGTTAGTCTCCAAATACCTTAGTGGCTGGAAATAAGCATTTTGCAGAAAATCAGTAATAGGAGACTGTTAGAAGGAAAGAAAAGCACATGACAGGTAACTACAACTGGCTTGTAATGTTTCTAAGGTTACAAGTCAATCCTTCACACAGTTTTGTTTGGGTTTTTTTCAGTGTTCTTTGTTGTTGTTTTGGGTGTTTGCTTTGTTTTTGATTAAGAAATTAATGAAAAGACTGAAAGAGAGGAAGAAAGACTTGTGACAATTTGTACAACTCTCAGGTGTGAGAACATGGAAGACTCTCCAAAGAGACCACTGAAAGCCTATGGCAGGCTTGCCTACACTGCATGATGGCATATCCTAAACTCTGGTGCATGCCTGAACTTCAGACGTAACAAATTAGGCTTCTATACAGACATATGTCAGAGATAAATTTATTCAAAAATCAAACTGTAATACAAGCTAGCATTAATAATGCATAAGGTATCACAAATATTTCATTAAACAAGGCCACTAATCTGAATTCTGTGGAAAAGTTAGAAAAATAAGCAGTCATTTCATATGTTTGCATATTTTGTGCCTAGCAAGGTGACAGGACTGGGGAAAAAAAAAAATTGTGTTGATGCAAATACCACTCCTAAGCAAGTGGATGTGTGTATTCACAGGTAATACAGACTTTAACACTTCCCTGCAGCTTATAGGGGGAAAAAAAAAAAAGAACCAAAACCCAACAACAACAAAAACTCAAGTCCCACACTAGTTTTTCTATAGGCTTGGGGCAGAGGTAGGAAACACTTTTGATCTTACCATGTGGAGCCACCTCCAGTTTAAAATATCATTCTTCTCTTATGTAAGACAGCTATAAACTGGATGAAGCTGTAGCCAGCTCTGAATACATAGATATATTTTTATTTTCTCTAGTGAGTAAACAAACCCCACCAAACCCAAGCAATAAGCCTGTTCCTCTGCCTGCCTAATACTGGCCTTTACTCTAAGTCCATAAGGCCACCAGACTAAGTTAATAACTTTTAATTACATTTATCATCATCTGTTGAAATTCCAGGATCAAAAATCTTAACAAAGAAATGCTTCCCTTAACCTGTCAGAAGGCTCCAAAAGTCTCCTGGAATAAAGCAGGTAATTGCCTTTTCAGCAGTTGAAAAATTACCACACAGAAAATTGACAAAATTAAATCTCAAAGGAACAAATTGTGGGATTGGAGAGCCCCTCACAAAAGGCCTCTCCAAGGCTTAGAGTTAAAGCAGCTGAGGCTGATGCAGACTAGGCTTAATGAGCTTATTACTTATAATGCTGAATATCTCCATCATAAAGTCAAGCATAAACATGAATCTGATGGTAAACCTGGTAGCTTTCAGATAGAGCTGTACAGTGCAAGAAGAGAAAGTACAAGGGAGAGCAAGAAGAGGAGGATTAAAGACACAGCAGTAATGATTTCTGAGTATGTCTTGTCAAGCACTGCTTTATAACAGTGACAATTAAGTCATCTAAAGGATAAATATCATGCACAAAGAGACATAAAAGGACCAGGTCCAAGTTACCATGCAATTCTCCAGTTTCACCAGTGTTTCTATGGTTCCCAGAACACCTTTATAGTATTTCATGTGTACTTTATAGCAGTACATGCCTGAGAGAAGCTGCTCAATGCACTTCTGAAGACAGACAAGCATTGAGTCACTAACAGGTTATGGTTACTGGTGGCTGATTGGAGAATGTCCATTCTAATGGACATTGCATCTCATTTCTAATTTCTTGTGCCACTGAAATGATGTCTTTTAGCTGATAACTTTTCCATATACCAAAGATGGCAGAACTGTGCAGAGACACTGCAAGTGAAATTGGTGGGCACTCTTTGGTTAGGTTATAACTTTCTAATGCTTGGAAATTCCCAGCATGACCCTTTAACTTCCCATAACAGCAATATTTAATACTGTATGTAATTCTTTCGTAGAGTCTCCACACTCAGAAACATGAACTTGGATGCCCTGGGAGTGAGATGCAGACAAAAGTAAAATAAAACATGTCAATTATTCAGTTCTATTGTTACAAAGTAATAGAACTACAAGGTTGCTATTATAAACTGTCTTCCCTCCCCCAGCTCTGTATGAAGATTAATAACTTTTACAGTTTTCCCAATTTTACTTTATTTGTACAGTGAGGGTACTTGCAGGCGTAAGTGGATTTACTGCTCAATTTTATTCCTTGCTTCTACTAAAGGATTTTATGGCAAGATGTGGTGTGAGGCTTTTTTACACAGTTCATTTATTATTTTTTTTCCACTTAGATTTGCCAGTTAATGAGTCAGGATACTTTATATGATTGTCCTTATAGACTATAATATATTCTAAAAATCACCACTGGTTTGGTTTTTTTTTTTTTTAGAAAGCTTCATGGAACATCTCTATAATTTCTGCCTAATTACCATTAGGCAGAGAAGAATATAATACTGCCATCATGCATAAAAGCTTCAAGCTACATTATTTAAAGGAAGATGTCAGAAGAATCTTTGAAGTACAGACACTGTAACGGTGGGTGCTATTTCAGTCCTGAAAGAGAACAGAGCAGATGATTCTGTACAGGCCATGCACCCACACCTGCAGGCACAGCCACTGAAGGGGTTGTTATGGCAAAGGTTTGATCCAGCTACCACCAAAGTTAAGTGACTTTGAGAGTTTTACTATTTTAGTGAGTAAGGCAACATCTACGTTTCAACACACGTGCTTCCAGCACTTCTGGAACTTCTTCAGTGTGGTGCTAATAATGGTAATGGCAAAATGGCAAAACATTGCATGTGTATAATCTATGAATGGCTTCTACTCTGAAAGGTTAAGCAAACAGCATTCAGAAATTTCCACACACGAAGAGCTGAACAAAAGGCAATTAAGACAAAAGAAACAGCTGAATGTTGCTTTTCTGCAGTGATTACATAGTAATGTAGTTTATCACTTATAAGGTTATTCAGAAGTGGCAATTAGTAACAACTTTTAATGTTACTTTCAGGACTGAATAAAAATTTATCAGCTAGGATGTCACTCTGAAGCTCATCTTCCCTGATAAATTGTAATACATAGTCTCTATTACTGGGCAAAAACACCAGGAGCAGCTGCCTCCTAAATAAAGGCTTTTCCAGCAAGCAGCAAGCACAAGACTGAAGACTCTCATCAGTTCTTTCAGATGAGATAGAGTAACAGAATTAACCTCTGTTAACTATGTTATACCAGGGAAGCACATTTTTAAATCACAGAATTATTCTTGATTGAACAATTCAAAGGTGAAGTGATACAAACATATACTCATGGGGACAAGCAATCCCATAAGCTCTCTCCATATCTGTAAACACAAACGATACCATTAAAATATTTTAACCAGGTTAAAACCAATACACATCCTTAACCCAGTGTCTAATATGTTTTCCTAAAATCAGGCTCTAAAAATCAGATCAATTGGTGTTTACACCAATTTAATTGAGGTTCATAGATTATGGGTTAAGTTAAAATCAGAAGTGAAAATAAGATAAGCAAAAAGTTTTGTATTATCTCAGGCAGACTGTGTCTGAAGAAATTTATTAGTAGTTCCATGGAAGTCTTTCAGCATGAAGTTTAAATACCCACTACCCTACCAGAACAGTCACTACCACACAAACAGGACACTTATCTGGCATGTCATTTTCATCTTTAAATATATCTCAAAATTCAAGCAGACCTCCAGCCCACTGGCTGTTCTCCCATGGGACACTGATCTGTTGGAGCTCTTCCACT